CTTTTCATGTAAGCAATGTTGGCTACAAATATACTTCAGACTTATGTTAGTGTTTCCGCACATTGATTTATATCATTTAGACTTTCAGTATATCAGCATGTGTTAGTTTATCTTCCGCATTCAGCATGTTATTATATCATATATTGATTCAGCCAGCCAGTTGATTTGCTCGGTCATATGTAGTCAGGCACTGAGTGCCGTGGTACGTCCAGGCCCAAGTTCGGGGTATGACAAGATGATTTCAAAAATGCCAAATTTTTTCGTTTGTATTAGTCGTACAATATTGGAAACCCTAAAATTTTCTGTAACCCTCTATCTTACTTATAGCAACAAGCGGTTAAGTGGCAATGAAAACCACATTGTTAATGTTGGCAAGAGGTTTTAGTCTGTGAATTGACTTTTTTGGAACTCACCCCCTAATTTTCCAAAAAATTGAACTAATCATTGAGAAATAGGGGGGGGGGGAGGGGGTTATTTTGTTTGTTTCCTTTTCCTCTATTGGGAGAGGTGGACTTTTCTCTGTTTCCCTTCCTCGTTTGTTACCTCTACTTCTAACTATGTTAGCATGTGAAGTTTCAGTATGTTGTATTTCTATGGACTCCATTTCATTATTACTAGAGGGTTTGGTATCTATAGAGTTTTCAGTGTTACCTCGATTTTTTATTTTCTTTCTGTTTCTGCTTCTCCCTCTTGTGCTAGGTGACATCTCTCTTTGTTGAGACTGTTTTGGATCTCCAGGATTGCTATGAATACATTTTTATTCAGAGAGTTCTATCATAGAAGCTTGCTCGCTACCTTCTTCCACATCACAATTACTGTGTTGCTTGTGATCACAGTAAAGTTCCACAACCAAATTTAGTCCTTCTTGGTTTTTGACTTCTGTTGGTAGACTGGAAGATTGATCACTCGCTGTCAAAGGTTCCCTAGTGTCATGTACTTTTATGTCTATCGCATTTTTAGTGCCTTTATTTTTTGGTCATCCTCTGTGTTACTGACATAAGCATGATCAAAATGACTCTCCTTAATTTTAAAATCAGTCGAAATTTTTTCAAGCTCTATTTCTTGAGAAATAACTATTCCCTGAGAGCCCCTACAACCGAGAGTGTGATGGTGATCACTATCATTCCTTTGTTATTTTCGCTTCCTGATTACTCCATGAGACAGTGCCGGTTTAAAGACAACTTTGTTCTTTTTTTGGGCATCTTTCTTGTATTGCTCGTCTTTTTCTTTTTGTTCATAGTTCTTTCAGCAAGTCTTTTTCTTTTTGTTCTTAGTTCTTTCAGCAGTTCTTGGTGGCTCTTCTATGCTGTTAACTTCTGCTGATCGAGTATCCCATTGTCACTTTAAGCGTCTGTCACATGTTCTTATTTTTCCTCCACATTTTTTTATCTGCTTTGCTCGTTCTGTTTCTGTTGAGTAGTCATAGAGTGCTTAACATATTGGATATTGGCTTCAATTGTTGTTAAAGGCTCGTCAATCCCAAAAATTGCTCCAGTTGGCTTGTATATACCTTTGGGGGGGGGGGGTCACTATTCCCCCTAATTCTTTTGCTTTGGTCTTCATTATTGATTTAAGCCTCTCTACCTCTATATTAATCCTGTTTTGAGGCTTGCGTATCTTTATTTTTTTATTGCACAAAATTTTCAATCTAATTGTTATCCATCTTATTCTTCTCATCTGCCTCTTTCTTTCCCTCTAGTTTCTTTTTCTCCAAAATTCTACAGTTCATAATGGAATGTCCTAATTTCCTATATTGTTAACAATACATGGGTATGTTTTAGTACTCAATTTTCTGTTCAAATCATTTGAAAGGTGAGTTATCATCTTCATTTCCTACCCAAACACTTGTTACCAAAGGTCTTAGAAGATCAATTTCAACCCGTACCTTGGCCATGCTTGGTCTTGTCATGCCCTTAGTAGAAACATCAAGCTCTACAGGTGTACCAACTTCTGCAACTATCTGTTTGGCATAGTACCGATTGTGCATGCGAAAGAGAAAACTTGGGAGAAGTGCACACACGGTAAGTCCTCTTCAGACTTGAAATCAGGAGTCTACTTTTGTAGCCAAATTTGATGACCTTCAATCTCTATTACCCTTTTGTACATAATTACATTGAAGTCCACATCGTTCATGAAGCTCATAAAGACATTAACATTATCATAGACACCAATCTTGACTGAGCCTTTTAAAGAGATTTTTTTTAGAGAATCGAGATCTAATCACATCAATTTGGGACAGATTTTAAGAAATCTTCCGACAATAGTTCTTCTACATTGAGATTCCTTAACCCCATAATAGTCTTTGGATCTAAAAATAACAGCAGGCATACCGTTATGGATTGTCCTTCTTGCCTTCACCGCTTCTTGCTCTTGATGATTTGGGGTCGTAGTAGAGCCCATTGCATCAGTAAGAATGGTAGAATACAAGATTTTTTTCCCATAGATTTCGTGGATATCCATATTAGATCCGGAAGGAGCTTCCTTTTGAGCCATAGGACGCGCCTGAGGGAAGCCATCCGGCAACCCCATATGGTGGAGCGTGGGTTACAAACGCAGATTTGGTAAAGCGAGCCCTTGAGAGTATTTTTCTAGAGAGATAAATATTAGAACATTGTTTGTTATTTGCAAGGGTGGTTGCTAGAGCGACTATGTTGTATGGGGTGGAGTTCTAGCCAGTCAAGACATCTCATTCAGAAGATGAAAGTAGCGGAAATGAGGATACTGAGATGGATGTGTGAGCATACTAGGAGAGATATAATTAGGAATGAAGATATTCAGGACAAAGTGGGAGTGGCTCCCGTGGAAGATAAAGTGCAAGAAGCGATGTTGAGATGGTTTGGGCATGTGAAGAGGAGAGACACAGATTCCCCGGTGAGAAGGTGTGAGAGGATGGCTATGGTGGGGCATAGGATGGGTAGAGGTAGGTCAAAGAAGTATTAGGGAGAGGTTATTAGGCAAGACACAACACATTTTCCGATTGCCGATGTCATGACCTTGATATGAGGGAATGGAGAGCGAGGATTAAGGTAGTAGGTTAGTGAATAGGGCTTAAGTTATACATGTTATAGTAGTGTATTCTCGTATTCCTTACCATGAAATTTTTAGCACTGACTGTTGTTTCTTTTGCTTTGGTTATTTTTTTTTTTGACTATCACTACTGTTTCTCTTTACATGGATCCTTTATTTATATGCTTTTCTTGAGCCGAAGATCTATTGGAAACAACCTCTCTGCATTCACAAGGCAGGAATAAGGTCTGTGTACGCATTACCCTCCCCAGACCTCACCTATGAGATCACACTGGATTTGTTGTTATTGTTGTAATTACAATGTGGAGAATTAAACCCTTACCAATAAGGTGAATGTTGAAGTAGTCACCTATCTGAACTATTAAAATTCTCCATAGTCTTTGATAGTTCCCTGGATTAAATTTATGGAAAAAAGAATTCATCCAATTAGATTAACATGGACATAATTTAAAGAGTCGCCTAAAAGGGCCATAAGGCCCCCTCCCTCTTCTTCTCGTTAAAATAGCACGGTATAGCTAGTTTTCGGATTGGTCATTCAAAAATAGCTAGCATTTACCAAGTCAATAAAAAATAGCCACTATTTTGCTACAGCAGAGACAGGTCCGGCATAATATACTGGAGTTCGGTGCCTGTGTATGAACTCCAGCATATTATGCTGGACCGGTATACTTTGCTGGCTTCAGTATAATATACTGGAGACTGGAGCACCGGTGCTCCAAACTCCAGTATATTATGCTGGACCGGTATACTTGCTGGAACTCCAGTATATTATGCTGGAGTTCTAGTGTACTTATGCTGGAACTCCAGCATAATATACTGGAATATTTTTCGGGTTTTGAACAGTGTTTTCGCTCAGATTTTTCTTTTCATGAAAAATGGCTAAATTTCGATTACTTTTAAAATTGGGCTATTTTTGAACGACCAGTTGTAAATCTGGCTATATTTGAATTTCACCCCTCCTTCTCTCGTGAAAGCCCAAAGTTTTGAAGGGTAAAATAATGATTTCACCAAAAGCAGCCAAAGTCCCACCTGTGACACACTCTCCACTTCGGCATTTTCAAAGCTGCCCAACGGCCATGCCTTAGTTTTCATCGAAACCCAACTAAGGCATACACACGCGTACATATATAGCCCTAAAAATTTCCTTTCATTCTCTTGTCAAGCTTCGATCTTTTCACCAGTGCTTCATCTCACAGGTCAGTTTTCTTGAAAAACTTATACTGTGATTCAAATGCTGTTGTTCAAATGTTGTGCATTGATCAAATGTTGGATCACCCATTTGGTGGTTTCACAGTTTTGAACTTGAAATTGCATACCCATTTTGCATTTGATTGGATTTAGTGTGTAAAACTACAGTCTTGTTTGGCTCTGTGCACTATTGTCCTCCAGGATCTTGAAAAATGTTGCTAAAATCACTTGTCAAAAAAAAAAAAAAAACTTTTATAGCCTTAGAAATAATGACAGAGAGTTTGACAAGAAAATATTTGCTAGATTTCATATAAGGCTACTTTTTAGCCTTAGAAAGATTGCAGTAGTCTGTTTTCTTACTTATTAATTGATGTATGGAAGTTCAAGTCGAGGAATAATATTCAATGAATTACTTGGTGCTACATTACATAGCATAAAGGAGACACTAGCTCATGGTTTGATTCCTTTGAAAAGGTTTAGTTCAGTTTTCTTTTGTTAATAATTCTTTTAAAAGAGAGTAGTGCTCGTTTGGGACAAACTGGTGTTAGCTCTAGCTCGGTTCTAGTCTGCATCGACATTGTCTTGTAAGGATTTGGTATATAAACTCCAAAATTGGATAAATGAGGAGGGTTGCAGTGGGTTGATTGACGGCTAGCATAATTGTAACTAATATTTTAGCAAGCTTTAACTATTTTGAAATTGAGGAGTAGTTCATTGATTGATACTCGGCTGTTTAGTTGTACTAATGAATTATTGGTGCAATATCTATCAGGTGTTAGACTCTTCATTCTTCTGGTCAAGTGAATATCTGGAAATGGCTACAAATGCAACCCTTAGCCTGCAAATTGCAGCAGTCAAACAATGCGCTTCTGCTTCTCCCTGTTTGTCGAAGTTGAGCAGTGTTAGTTTTGGTTTTGAAAGTAAAAGCAGATCTTGTACAGAGCTCAGAAGTTCATCTTACGTTTCACCAGCAAAGCTGAGTCAAAGCTTTAAGTCTGTTTCCGTAAAATATGAGAGGATGGTTCCAAAAGCAATGTCTGGAGCAAGTGATAAAGCGCCTGCTTCAGGGTTGCCTATCGATTTAAGAGGTCGCACTAAAGTCTACTTGAATTTTTGTATTGGATTTTGGAGTCCAGATGCCAGATTGTTTATAGTTTTTTTCTCATAATCACAGGTAAGAGGGCATTTATTGCTGGTATAGCAGATGATAATGGGTATGGATGGGCAATTGCAAAGGCACTTGCAGCTGCAGGCGCTGAAATTCTTGTTGGTACATGGGTGCCTGTAAGTAAATCTATGAATTTTTGTATACATTCACACTTACCCTACAGCATGCCCAGGATATAATCTTTCGTGATAAATTTATTTAGGCACTGAATATCTTCGAGACAAGTCTACGACGTGGAAAATTTGATGAATCGCGAGTGTAAGGATGGAGCATTTCTGTTTTTCTATACTGTACTCTTCATTCCTTTCATCTACTGATTGATGCTGCAATATTGTGTAATAGGTTGCCAGATGGTTCATTGATGGAAATTGCTAAAGTCTACCCATTGGATGCAGTTTATGACAGTCCTGAAGATGTTCCTGAGGATGTAAGATTAGCTTTTCTCTTTATCCTTCTCAATTAGTTACAGAAAAACAGTGTAAGTCTAATTATCTAGTTGAAATTGGTATCATTCAGGTGAAAGCAAACAAACGCTATGCAGGATGCTCAAATTGGACAGTTAAGGTATCATGTTTGACATTTTTCAAATTGTTTCTCATATTTGTCAGCTGGATATGGCCCCCCTACCTGCTCATCTTGAAGAAAGCTTTCGGTAACTGAAGTCATTATTGTACAATTATGACGTTGTACATGGTTTTCTTTTTTCTCTTTTCATAGGGCCTATGACTTTATACATGGTTTAAAATTGAACTCCACATAATATTGGTTTGATACTTTTAAGAGATTTGACATGGTTTCGAGAAGCTAGATTTCCATTAATCCGGCCTGTATATGTCCAAAGACTTTTTTTGTTTTCTAATCAAAAGACTTTGTTTACTAAGTACTTTTAGTTTATACTTTGTGCATTATTAATGATTCTTGTTATGAGCTACCTATCTATATTAGATCATCCTGTTCTTCCTCTAGCGTGTGCTATCTCTAGTTGTATCTTGAATAGATCAAAGCTCATCTCCATTTTGGAGTTAAAAATACTCTAGTGGATGCAGCAAGATGGTATTATTTTATATGCTGCAGAATTATATCAAGGCAGGAAGATAACATGATCAAGTAACTGTGCAATTGGTGTTTTATTGTAGGAAGCTGTTGAATCTGTGAAACAAGATTTTGGCACAATTGATATCCTTGTGCATTCACTTGCAAATGGTCCAGAGGTACACTACTCACCATTCTCTGCTAAAGTTCTTATTGGAACTTTTATGGTATCTGAAAGTGTATATGTAGGTTAGCAAACCTCTGCTGGAGACATCAAGAAAAGGCTACCTTGCAGCAGTATCTGCCTCAAGTTATTCTTTTGTTTCTCTCCTGAGGCATTTTCTTCCAATAATAAATCCAGGTAAAGCTCCACGAGCTTGTTTCAGCTAAATCTATATGGCAAAAGTAGTTCATCATGTGCTTTTCCACCAAATAGACCTTTTCCTTTTAGAACTTTGAGATATTTTTTACCTTGTAGGCGGTGCCTCAATCTCTCTGACATACATTGCTTCTGAAAGGATTATTCCTGGGTATGATTCCCCTTACCTCCTGAAACACAATCTTCCTTATTTGCTTATCGTTTAAAATGACTTGTCGTCACTGAATTTAATAGATATGGAGGCGGTATGAGTTCGGCAAAAGCTGCTTTGGAGAGTGACACAAAAGTAAGTTCTCTGCTACATATTTTTTCCTAATAATTTGAACTTTATTCCCTTTAGCTTCAAATGCGAGCATCGCTTAAGAGTAGTGTTCTCTTGCTGAAGGTCCTGGCCTTTGAAGCTGGAAGGAAAAATAAAGTCAGAGTCAACACAATATCTGCAGGTACGGTGCACAAGGTAGTATTAAATGTAATGTGCTTATACTGATCCAAATGGTACTCTGAATTTCATTGTTAGAAGTTTATAGCCGCGTATGCTCAGGCTTTAATATATTGATATTAGAACTTGTGTCAGCATGTTTTAAGTTTTAGTTCCTTCTTTAACATTGAACTTACGCCGTTGCAATGCATTGTGTGGTTATATAACCAGCCTTACTTGCTAGATATTAAAAATGAACCTACACTTCAAAATTTCTGCCCAGAACTGTACTTTGACTACAAGAACTTGCTCAAACAGCTTAAATGTAGATAGAACAGGAAAGGTAAAGGATTCTGAGAGGATAAAAGGGATTATTTTGGAAAGGTTGATGGCATATTCGAGCACTCACATCAAATTTTTTATATTAAGGCTCTTTCTCAAGTGCTTTATACTCATAATTGAATGTTTCCTTTCCAGGTCCATTGGGAAGTCGTGCCGCAAAAGCTATTGGATTCATCGATATGATGATAAATTACTCATTGGAGAACGCCCCATTGCAAAAAGAATTATATGCAGGTGATTCATATTCTATTCTTTATTTAATTTTTATATTTGCAAATCCTCAAAACAATCTCATATCTTGGTAGTATTTCTTTTCCATTAAGATCCCCCAAAAGTTTTCCGTCATGCCTCCACTGGGGTGAATAATATCTGTTTTTCTTTATGAAATTTGTTATTCATCTTGATGACATAACAATCAAGGTGTACGCAAGCTGGAGTTGCTCCCTCTATCCCAGTTTATGTGTCATACTTTCCTTTTTAGGCTATCCCAGAAAGAATGTCATGTATCTTTATTAAAAATAATTTAACTTTAAACTTCCTACTTTACTTTTAATAAGATGATTAATGGCCATACAAATATCTATGACTCGCTCTAGACCACAACTTTCAAAAGTTTTCCGTTCTTTCTTAAACTCAGTGCTGAGTCAAACACCGCCACATTAATTGGGACGGAGGGAGTAAAAAATATAGATATTTTATCTTACTGTTGGCACTGCTGTTTGCTTGAGTACTAAAACTGAAAATGAATGTAACAGAGGAGGTCGGAAATGCTGCTGCTTTTTTGGTGTCTCCTTTAGCTTCAGCGATCACTGGTGCAACCATTTATGTTGACAATGGTCTCAACGCAATGGGGGTTGGAGTTGATAGTCCAGCTTTTGAAGGTCTTGACATTCCAAAAGACAATAAGAGCTAGAGGGTGGAGGCAACGCTCACTATGTTTTGGTGATCTGGGAGAAAATTTTGATTATTGGAATAATTGTTTAGCCTCTCCTTTTGTTGTCATTTTTCTTGGTATCATAGATCCATTTCATTTTGATGAGTGGATAATTTGCTTTGCATATTCGATGGTTACATCGCATGTTGTAACAAATGGAACTTCATTCTCGGCACATTATAAATGAGCCTCTCATTGATCAAGTCTTTATGCCAGACTAGAACTGACTTGTTGATTATGAAATTCCTTTCGTAGATCCAACAATAGACAAAAAACTTTGGGTGATTTTTTTTTATCTACCAAGTTTTGGTGGACAAGCGTTATTTAATACATGTGTTCGGTGAGAGATAGTAGGAAATAAGAAATAATAATGGTAAGAATAATTCAAACTGTCTTAGTTTGACTCAAACACCAATAGTAGTGTAGAGTTGCGATCACATTATTTGTATGCTGTTTTGAAGCATATAGTCATGATTCCACTAGTCTTAATTTAACTCAACATGAACACTGAAATTAGGGTTCCAATAATTGTAATAGTTGGAAAGTGTGGGATTATTACTACTGAGATTATTACTGGGTTGTTATTGTTGAAAAGTGTGGTGTCTAACAGGACGGCCCGGTAGGTGTTAGGGGGATGGGGGTAGTGGGTCGTGTGACGTGATGGAACAACCATTTTGGGGAGAAATTCAAAAATAGCCAGATTTACCACTGGTCGTTGAAAAATAACCAAGTTTCAAAAGTCATCGAAATTTAGCCACTTTAAATCTGAGCGAAAACACTGTTCAAAATCCGAAAAAATACGCCCGCAAATTTTACGGGAGTTCCAGCATAAGTATGCTTGAACTCCCGTAAATTTTACGGGAGTTCCAGGATAACTATGCTGGAACTCCCGCAAATTTTACGGGAGTTCAAGCATAATTATGCTGGATTTCCCGCAAATTTTACGGGAGTTCCAGCAAGTATAATTGTCCAGTATAATATACTGGAGTTTGGAGCACTGGTGCTCCAGTCTCCCGCAAATTTTACAGGAGTTAGCAAAGTATACCGGTCCAGCATAATATGCTGGAGTTCGTACACAAATGCACCAGAACTCCCGTATATTATACTGGACCGGTCCCTGTTGCAGCAAAATAGTGGCTATTTTTCATTGACTTGATAAACGCTGGCTATTTTTCATTGACCAGTGTGAAAACTGGCTATACCATAATATTTTAACACCATTTTGTCCCGGTGTCCCGGCCCGGTATTGGTCCGGTATCTCTCCATATATTTTTTTAAACAAATTAGAGTTGTAGACAATAAAATTGCGTCAAGAAAAATAATCGAGACCGAAAATATTGCAATAATTGTAGTATTTGATTTCAAACAATTTGAGCGTTACAATCTTTATGATTCCTCTGATTCTTCTTTTCTAATATAAATTAGAGGGCTTTTGAGCTTGATCTTGAATTTATGCTTGTTTCCACAAACGATGATCTTGAATTCAACTAGCACGAACATTGATTTGAACTCGTACTCTTTGAACCTTGATTTGTTCATCATTCTTGAGCTTGAACCTGATTGCTTGAAGCTCGAAGCTCGTAGAGAAATTTGTGGCGTTTGACCCATGAGCTCTCTCTTGCTTCTTGCTATGACTTCTGGTATGAAGACCCCTATTTATAGTTGTGGAAGAGAGACCCCTATTTATAGTTGTGGAAGAGAAGAGTTGTGACGAGAACAAAAATTTTCCGACCAATCATATTGAAGTGTGACAAAGCCGCATTTGATTCGCCAGAACATGTCACTTGCATATGTGGCACGATTTCATTGGCCTTTTAATTTGACTTGACATGCCTTGTCATTTTGATACGTGTCATTATCCCATTGGCTCCTCCATTTGACTTGCGTGCCATGTTATTTGACACGTAACACCAAACTGGGCCTCTAGAAAGATGGCATCTTGGGTCTAATAAAATGGGTTCACCACGTGACACCGCAAGTTTTTCCTGGGAAAAAAACAACCTTTCCGGGTTCTTTTGTTTAACATTGCAATCTCCACCTGTAACATATCCAAAAAAAGGTTAGTTGCTCATAAGATTTCCGCAACAAAAGGAAGATGTATATGTTGTTCGGTGCAAATAAGTAATTAAGAAATTGATATTATTGACGAAGAAAACCACTGTTCTTCTCCACTCGTTTTCTACCTTAAAAGGCTCCCAATCCATCAATTAATCCATCTACAACATCATATAAACTTAAAATAAATTTTATACAACTAATTATATAATATACAACTTATTTATAACTTATCAACAACTTTCATACATACTAAAAATAAAATTCATACAACTAAATATACACTATACACTTATTTACAACTTTCATACATTACTTCTACACAGTTAAATACAACTACAATATCATACAACTTGAATACAAATTTTCTATAATTTTACTATAATTTTTCTACAATTTTACTACAACTTTCCTACAATTTCGTAAGTAAAATGTACGTCATGTTGTCGTCTTCTTCTTCTTCTTCTTCTTCTTCTTCTTCTTCTTCTTCTTCTTCTTCTTCTTCTTCTTCTTCTTCGAGTTTCAATATGAAATTCAACCAAAATCAAGTCTATTCTTCACCAAAACACCCTCAAAATTGAGATATAAACTCCAAACTGTACTCCTAATTGTTTGCCACAACACCCAATTCAAACAAATAATGGTTTTTGAAAACCCAAATTCGAATTCAAAGCTTCAAAGCTTTTTAATGGCTGTCAATGGTGGAATTGCTGCTGTCTTTTCCTTTGCTTTACATTACTGGAATTAGTGATTGAGAGATAGAGAGAGACGTAGAGAGAATTCTCAATTGTTTACACCCAATTCAAACAAATAATATTTTTTAAAAACCCAAATTCGAATTCAAAGCTTTAAAGCTTTTTAATGGTAGTCAATGGTAGAATTGTTGCTCTCTTTTCCTTTGCTCTACATTACTGGAGTTAGGGATTGAGAGAGAGAGAGAGAGAGAGAGAGAGAGAGAGAGAGAGAGAGAGAGAGAGAGAGAGAGAGAGAGAGAGAGCATGAGGGAGAGAGAATAAGGATGAGAAATAATTGATTCCTAATATAAAGGGATACTCATTTAATTCCTAAAGTGTATATAATTCATAAATTTGTATATAGGAGGTAAATAAATTGAAACTTAAGTAGGGAGGGTAATAAAGTTTCCAATAGTGTATAGGTATGTAAAAATCCCTTTTCGTATGAATTTAAATTCAATAAAATTTTAATTGCCTACAATAGTTGTTGGCCGACGGCTAATCTTTGGAAAATAGTCGTTGGGAATGGTAAAAAAATGGCTAGTTTAGCCCCCCAACCCCCAAAAACACCCCTCACCCCCCAAACTTTTCTATTAATCTTCAAGTTTATTAAATTACACCTTAGCCCTACTTTTAACTATAAATACCCTCCCTCCTTTATTATTTCTTACAATTCTCTAGTTCAATCATTCTCTCTCTCTTTATCATTCTATCTCCATCATTCTCTCTATTTTCCCACAATCATCTAAGTTTCAAGTACTTAGGCAAATATTTGGAGCAAGTTCAAGCTGCTAAACTAATTCTTCAAGTATTTAGAGCAAGTATTTGGGAAAATTCTTCAAGTTTTAATATTTATTTATAATGCACTCCTTCCATCTCTTAATTTTCGTGTTTAATTTCATGTCTATTTTTTATATTTAAATTATGGCTCCTACAAAGGTATTAGGCATACCCAACATTTTTTTTAAAAGTAACAAATGTTCTAGTTCTAGTAGTAATCCTAATCCTTTTGCTAAAACTAGAAAATGCATAGATGATTGTACTCTTGTTGATGAAACTTCCTTTAGCCTATCCCCTAACTTTTATTATATTATTTCAGAGGAGCCACTAGATAATGAAACTTTAGAAAGACAATTTGGCAATGATTTGGTATTAAATATTAACGAGGAAGAAGAAAATGAAGAAGATATATCAGATAAAATACCCACTAGTCCAGTTTTAGAACCTCTAACTCAGACGCAATCTCGGTCTGGAGCTTTACCTCCCCTTGTACCTCCTACCAGGGGTAAGGTTACAACAACACGTCAGAGAATATCACATGTATGGAAGTTTTTTAATTTTAATAAGATGCATGTATTTCTACTTGTTCAAAATGTAAATTACCATTTGCATATGGGACGGGTGAAAAAGCAGGGGGGCGGGGTGGGGATGTTAAGGACACTTGAAAACTAAACACAAAATTTTATAGATATAAGCTCAAATAGATGTTGGAGAGATACCGGATCCTAGCAGTACTTTTGGCGCTCCTACTGGTGATTTACAACGTCCCTATAACAAAGATAGAGGTAGCGAAAGTATAGAAAAATGACCGCTATTTGTGGCTTACCTTTTACTTTTCCTTCTCACCTCACTTTTGTGCATTATATACAAGAGTCGCATAACCCAATTTTTCTATAGCCACAGTTAGAAATGATATATTTAAATTTGGCAGAAAACATAGACAGACACTTTAACTATCACAGAAATTTCACTTGAACACCTCAACTAAGCCATTTTCCACCGGAGCACTTTTACTATACCTTTTCTGCACCAGTTTAACACGTCCGACCTGAGCTTATGAAAAATTTTCATGCGTGTTATTACGCACTGCCAGCTTGGATAATGTACCGATGAAAAATTTCCACGTTTTTTACAATGACACATAGACATTTTTACCGGGTAAAACCAAATATAATTACCCTCTTCCTAATAACCCTCTCATTTTTACTCATTCCTAAAGACAAACGACCAACAAAAAACCCTAAGTCCCAAATTCGATTCTTGTAAAATCCGTCCAAAGCGATGCATGTCCATTGATTCTGCTTCGTTTTCATTCGATGTTCAATGGTAATTAGTCCTATAGGTTAATATTTGTTCGATTTACCATCTGTGCTTGAAGAACCATCATCAGGGGAAGAGGTGCTGACTTGTTAAAGTGCCGCTTGATACTCATGATTGAAGTGCTGAAAAGGTATGTCTTTTTAGTGTTTTGTATTGTAGTCATTTTAGTGGTGGGCTTTCGTGCGAGTTAGGACTGATTTGGGACCACAATTAGGGTTTTTTTGTAATGAAATTTGAGAATATTAAAAATAGTGATGTCAGACTTTATTGCTATTATTTTTTACCATGGTGGTAACCTTGTCCTTGACCATAACTCAAAATATGTGGGGGAACAGGAGGTGTTAATAGCTGATATTGATAAAGACCA